GTCATGTCATAGCACCGTTGCTGGCTGCCGCATACCCTGATGTTGGTGTTATAATAATAATACCCCGGACAGAAGGTTTGGTTGTTCACACATACTGTGTAGTAATCAGGTAAGCATCGAGTTCCACACGAATAGTAACGATCACAGAGTGAGTTATTCGAGCACACAGATTGAGAGGAGTTGTAACAAGTCAGACCCGATGATATATACGATGGCCACAGTGGCACGGTCACGTTACAAATCGATTCGCCGTTATTACAAACCTTGATATTATTATAGCAATACTGGGAATTCGAGTAACATGTGCCGTTGCATGAATTGATACATTGAATCGTATTACCACCATTTGAACAGCCTTGTACGCTCGGATCATAACAACTGTTAGTTCCGCATGGTTGTTGACCGGTCGGACAGTCGATTGATTGCGCTTGAATGATCATAAGCCACAGCAGCAAACATACTGCAAGCATCTTGTGTTGGTACATGAAGTATTCAATTGAATATCACTGTGAACTAAATGTTGTTTTCGGGTTCCCTTCTAAATACAAAGTGCTCTATTTCTCTCCTTTTATAGTCGTCGCTGTGTTTGTTGTACCCCCCGTGGTATGTTTGTTGACAGAGCTTTCATGCGAATATGTTGCTTGATGGTGCTGTTGATTTCGTCGACATGCGATTGAAAAATCATGAGCATTAAGAACGGCCACCCTCAGCAGAATGACACAGTGAATCGTTCGCTCAAGACGAAATGATCACCGACTCAAGGAGAATCTGTTGAGAGATCGATTGTATTGCGCCAATCACTGTCAAAAAGTGTTGGGCTGTGTCTGCCCTTGATTTTTGGCTGAGCCCTGGCGTTAGAACCGTATTCATTGAAATCAAAAATAATGTCAAGCATCGAGGACTTGCCTTAAAAGGGGGGGGGGGGGGGGGGGGGGGGGGGGGGGGGGGGGGGGGGGGGGGGGGGGGGGGGGGGGGGGGGGGGGGGGGGGGGGGGGGGGGGGGGGGGGGGGGGGGGGGGGGGGGGGGNATTGAAATCAAAAATAATGTCAAGCCTCGAGGACTTGCCTTAAAAGCCCCCCCCCCCCCCGCACGATGGCGCATGATTATTTCTTTTCACTCTTCTACATCTGAATGCTGGAGCCATTTACGTTAACGAGACTATTAAAAATATCAAAGCCCGTTTCTCCATACTCCAATCGGGTTATTATTTCGTGATTCACTGTCGACGCTGGAACAATGCTACTTCCTATGTGCAAAATAATAACCTGCTCACCCACTGGACGACTAGGTTGCTTCCTTTCAAAAGAAAGGCGGAGACTCGAGCCTATTTCATTCACATCCATCTCCTCTGTCAAATACATACAAGACTGAATAGAGGAAAATGACCAGAAAACTGTTTCTGTTTCAAACAAAAAAGAAAGGAAGCACTGACCTGTTTTCTTTTCAGCTATTCTCTTGCCTATATGCGTGTGTCCTGAGGGTGAGAGTGAAGTTGGGTATAGGAGAGGCGGAGATCGGCGATTAAGACAGCTCTCATCTTCACTCACCCACACTCTCACAGTTATGTCTTCTATCTCGATTCGCGATCGAGTAGATCATTTCGAAAGAAACGCAATTCATTTTATTATTGAAACAAAAGTCCATCAAAGAAGCTGAAGCTCATGGTGAACAGGCTTGCGGACTTTCTAGTCATTTGTCAATCTGACGGTGCTGGTACATTCTGGTTGATTGTACCGGGTTTCTTGATATTCATCCAGTGCTCAAGTTTCAAATCGACACATGCTGCTGCATCTCTTTCGGCCATTCTTGCCACTTGCCAAACACGCTCAAGCTTCGGTACCTGAATAACGTCGAGTAGGCCGAAAGCGCAGTCCTTAGGGAAAATGTCCGCGTTCGTATTCATCGACGAGATAGTCACCGTATAGCTATCACAACATGGCAAATCATTGGTGAATCCTCCGTCGACAGCCCAGCCGCCTCGTGTCCGCACGATGCTACGTAGAAATATCAGTGGCAAACACATCGAAGCCAGAATGGTTTCGATCAGATCGTTGCGCGTCTGGTAGTGACTGACAATTTGGTTGTGCGGATAGGGAAATAGTTTGGTTACTGAGATGTAGAGTCGACCGGAACATCGAACGTGTGCATCTTCTGGCAAATAATTATTCCACAAATCGTAATAGAACTCTTTGCTATCGAACATGCAACCAAGCCAGCCGCGGCCAGAAAAATGTTCGAGACATTTAGACCAGTCGCGTCTACACCAATCGACTG